CTCTCTCTCTCTCTCTCTCTCTCTCTCTCTCTCTCTCTCTCTCTCTCCCTCCCTCTCTGCTATCCTTTGTCTCCAGACCAATACCATATTGCAACTACCAGAAAAGCAGGTATTAAGTTGGAAAGGTACAAGTAAGAAAGGAATTTTCTACTAAATTTCTTAACTTTACCTTCTTTCTCTAATCTATTTCTGTACCATTTGATTTTCAATCACTTGAAGACTGCAAACTACTCCAAACTGAAACCATCTAGCCAGAGACTTGCTGAAAACTAATGCAAACTAGATGATTCTGATGAAAATTCAACCTGTCCTGAGCCTCCTGCATGAACCAGAATTTTCAGACAGTTCCAAATCTGTTTTCACTTTGCTAGCCCTAGGTGGTACCTGAGATCCTGAAAAGAAAGCAAAAGAGATGGCACACAGCCAGCACTTCTCTTCTTCCTCCTAATCATTGATTAACATTCCAACCTACTCAGGTGCTGACAACCTTATCCTAATTTCAGCTAAACAACAGTTACAGAAGAAATTCCAATGGCCCTTATCAAAAGAAAATAGCTGGTATATCAGGACAAATGATACTCAGGAAAAATAGCTAGCTGTGTAGCCAATAAACATACCAAAGTGCATTCTGGCCTCAAGTCTTTGGAAAAGTAAAGGTTACAGATTCCAAAGGGATATTCAGTGTCCTTTCTCCTTTCAACTCTTCTTACCCTGATACCTACTCTAAATACCACCTGACCATAGGCTTCCTTTCCCCAACTTTTGATTCCATTATAACCCTGACAATCTTTTGACTCTCTAGGTCATCTTAGCGATTCTCTCTCGCCCAACTTCCTTTCTGTTGGTACTCCTTTCTTGATCCCCAAATCATGACCTGGTCAATTCTTCTACTAGTCTATTCCTTTCTCTCCATGGTCTAGACACTTTCAGATGTATTCTTCATCATATATACCAGGGAAACCTTCCCTGTATTTTTACATGTATTTTTTGGATGTATTCTTCATCATATATACCAGGGAAACCTTCCCCTTAATTATAAATATAGAAAAACAAAATTTGAACATTCTCACATCTGCATATTCAGATTTCAATATAAGTGTGACTATGTGAAATACATGCATAGGGGAACTGTGTAGGAAAAGAAAGTACTAACAGGAGAAAAAGCACAGGACTAGGAAGTAGAGGAACAGTACTGAATAAATTACAATGATGTGCATATATCTAAGTTTTATATTAAAACCCATAATTTTAAACATCCACTAAAAAAAGAAGAAAAAAGAAATCTCAGGTATAATATACTGAGCACAAATGTAAGTTTAAAAATGTCTTCCACCATAGGCTATTTGAATGAGGTTTCAAATTCTCTATAAATACAATTCATAAATTCAGTTATTTATTCCTTTTGCCCAAATGTCACAGAGTAAAATATATAGTTTCTTGCAGTGTTTTTATGTGTTTTGAATTATTACAAGGATTGTTTTAAAGCTGGAATTCCATAAAGTAAATTGGAATTGGCTGATAATGTATAGCAGACCAGTAATAAAAGAAGCAAACGTTTTGATACTCAAAACTTCAAGATTCAGGGCTGCAGAGATGATTCAGAGGTAAAGAGCACTGCACTAGCCTGGTGTCTAAACTGAGTTCTATTGCTAGGACACAAAGCACATGGCTCACAGCGTCATGTGTCTGCAACTCCATTAGAATCAATGCACTCTTGTGGCTCCTGAAGGTACTACACACAGACATGCGTATACACACACACAATAAAACTAGTGCGACTCTACTACTACTACCATGACAACTAACACTACTAGCAAATGTTTAAAAACTACACAATTCAGTAACAGGATTTATTTTATTTTCACACCTAGTCATTCACACTTCCAAGTACATGATTTAAAGATTTTGGGAACTTATTCCCATGGGAACAGCCCTGTTGGAAAACCAACCATCATCTCCCGGAACACTTTATCAAAGGCTTCAGCCTGGGCTACTGTAAAGTGATTCTTCCAGTCTCCAGTTATGCCTGGAAATGTGAAGCAGACCCAAAGATGGATTAATAATGATCTTAAAACTATCACTCCTTAACTTAAAATGCTCTTACCGTCTGCTTGACAATACCCAAAGAGTATATAAAATAGAACTACCAGAGACTCCCTGGTTATTCCTTCATATTTCTTGAAATAATATGAAAACAGGTATATACCTATATGGAAATAATGCCCCACCTTCTCTCTCATCATGTCAACTACACAATCTAACTATATCAGCACTAGCTCTGACTTGTCTATTATTCCTTATTTGCACTACATCTGCTTCTATCACAATGTCCAACCCAGCAGAATTTTCTTATCTTAATTTTTCAAATAGAGTTTAATTATTCTTTCTACATTTAAGTGTTTACTTATAAAAGTTCTGCAAAACATTCAAGCAACTTTTAAAATATCTTCTGAAATTAATTTTAATTGTGTGTAGATATACAGGAATGCAGGTTCCTGCAAAGATTGGAGGCAGAAGTTCCTTTGTAGCTGAAGACATACACAAAGGTGAGCTACATGGCAGTCATATTGATGATTATATAAGATTCTGAAATGCCACAGAAAGTGCCAACTGTGAATGTCGTAGGATTCTGTTTTCAGTCAGCATGGTGTTTTGTGATGCATGAAGATCTAACTGATAAAGTTTCTCATTTGGACCTAGGGAGTTAAGTCCAGTGTTCCAATGAGAAACTTCACCATTTTTATCCCTCATTACTTCACAGTGTATTTTTCTAGACAGAGTGCTGGAATAACTAATAACTTTCACTGATGTTCTCAGAATACATTAATCTGAGGCACAGAAGACAGAAGAACTAGGGAGAATCCTACTATTTTCAAGCGAAAACAAAGGCCAGGAAAGCTCTGGACAAAATATATTGTGAGGAAATGAGCCACAACCTGGATCTGGAGGGAGGGGGAAGAACTGGGACTTCCAGCAGGGAAGGAGGCCCTGACTGCTCTTGGGACTGGAGATGGAGGAGGGGAGGGAGTGGGGGGAGTTGGAAGGTATTGGGAGGAGGGGAGGAAGTGGAAATTTTTTATAAATGAATGAATAAATAATAATAATAATAATAAAAACTGATGAAGTTTGTCCGAGGACATTTCCTCCCACATGCCTTGATTGTGAAAATGTCTTTATAAATCTTCTGTCAACAAAAGTAGCTCAACAAGATGAACATCTCTCTTTTCTGGTATTTCTGTAGTATCTAAATATGGAATAATAATGATCAAAATTGCTTGTGAAAATAAACTAAAATCCTACTGTATTCTCATCCTGGAAGAATGTACCTGGAAAGAGGAAATGACTACTATCCTCATGGAATTGTATTCTAAATTATACTGCATTGGCTCCAGTGTGTCTCCGACAACACTTTTGCTTGTAACTTTTTCTCTATATAACATGCTAATTCCTTCTTTTAGCATTTCATTACTGTGTTTTATGTAAACATACTTTTTTTACTTTTGCCAAATTCTGATTCATTGAAGGAAATCCAAGAATATACAATTTTCTCTTTAGTTGAGACCTTAAGTTATAGTAAAGACAACTCTATCTCCACAGAGTTTGGATCAGAGAATCTGAGTTTATTTGTCAACAGCAGGGAATTCTCCCTGATGCCTAAGTCCTTAGTGTATAGATGATCATATTCTTGAAGTATAATGTACGTGTGCTCAACTCTGCCTTCAAACATCCTCCTGATAGGATACAAGAGTGTTGGATTAAATGCAATTTGCCAACCACTCTAAATTACTTATCTATATGTCTATTCCTGATGTTGTTATATTCTAGTACCTGTTCCTTACTCTCTAAACTGGAGAAGAACTAAAGGTTAAGGATGAACCATTTCAATTATTGGAAGAAGAAAATTGAACCCATTACTCTCTGTTTCCTGCATCTCTACCCAAGTTATTAACTCACCCCAAAGATCTGACAACTCACACATTTCTTCTTCAACCTCGAGTTCCATAAAACCAATGATTTGTTAATGTGGTATATATAAGACTCAGGTGTGATTCACTCTGCCAAAATTATGTCTAAATTTTATAGCAATAAAACTACACCCACAATCCCAGATTATAGAGGTACCACAGACATAGAGAAGATGCATATTGCCATTTTTGCAGGGACAATTCAGAACAAACTGAGTAGCCCTGATCCTGAAACAACTCAAATTTAGGTTGGAAAATACCATCATATTGTAGCAGTGGTGAATAATTTCCTTCGTCTATATGAGGTCTATACTTAGATTTCTATAAGTCAGCAATCTTGACATATTTCAACATCTTTTCAAGCCATTAATTGAAGCGATTTCTATGATTATCATCCATGCTATCTCTTTGGTCCCATGCATTAGACATTTTCTTTAGAGTTGAGGTCTAAGATACAAGAAGCCTTGTAAAGCCTCATTGCAACATGCCTACTTCTTTGCTTGTTATTATTGGTATTGAGCACAACCATCTGCAATCCCAAGGTGCTCTCCTAGAACAAATTATTTCTTTTCAGAGTTCCTGAAGACCACATCATCACCATAGAAATATTCCCCAGTATGTTCTGTGAGAAAACATGATGTAAGGAGCAATGACTTCTGAAACATTCCCTACTCTTTGTTAGAATCTCTTTGGACAAACAAGCCCTCCAAGTGTTCTGACATAGAAAAGTTCTTTACCTTTTCTCAACAGTTTCAAACCATTAGTAACCACATCTTCTGGGATGAGACTATGATTGGACATGTTATTTTCATTCATGGCTTGGAAGGAGCTGTGCTTGAGGACCAGATCCAGCTCTTCTGTCTCTAATTTCTTTCCTAGGAAGTCACAGATCTTCTCTATGGTTTTCCTTGTATCCTAAAATAAAAAAAAAACAGAAATGATGGTAGTAAATAGGACGTTCTGAGTGACTGAATACAGAGAAGGGAATTACAGATGGAGTTTGAAATGTGAAGCATGAAGAAAGAAATGGCACCATGATATGTGAAAGCATTGAGAAGGGGAATGTAAGAGTATATTTAAAGTGTGTAGGAGTCACACATATCATCTGTATATTGAGTAGATTCCAATGTGGCTGATCTCTGCCCCTAAAAGTCAGAGGCTAGAATCTATTTTAGGTAAGAGGTTAACATTAGAGACAGAGTCTAAAATAACTGAGGTTGTTCTCAAACTTACTTTGTAATGGATGAATACCTTAAACATGCTCCTGTTTCAATCTCTGTAGTGCTGTGTTCACAGGTTTGTGCCAATACACCTACTAAATGCACTAGGGTTTTTCTTCTTGTGATGGGATCTCACTATGGAGCCCTGTCTAGTGGTATGGAAGTTGCTACGGAGACCAGAGTGACTTTAAGCTTAAAGAGGTCAGAGATCTTTTATCTGGCTTTGCTTTCTAAGTGCTATAGTTAAAAGTGTGTACCACCATATGTAGATGGAGGCTGCTCATTTAATCTCAACCATCCAGACTGAAAGAAATCACATGGAAACTGTATTAATTAAAACACTGCTTGGCCAATCACTTAAGCATTTTGCTAGCTAGCACTTATACCTTAAATGAATAAATTTCTATTAATCTGTGCAATGCTACATGGTTGTAGTCTAATGGTAAGTTTCTTTCTTGCATTTAGCATCTGTGTCCTTCAGTGTTTACATGGTTTCTCTCTGACTCTGACAATTTTCTGCCTATATATCTGTTCAGAGTTCCCACCTGGCTTTACTCTGCTAAGTCATTGGATGAAAGCATCTTCTTTGCTATCCAGTGGCAAAAAACATATTCACAGCATACACAGAGGAATGCCACCTCACCTCTCCTTTTCTGTCTAAATAAAAAGCTAGATTTTTAACTATAACACAGCAAAATTTCATATTACAACAGGTCTCAAGCAGAAATTACAGTTATAATATTTATATCTCTATTATCTTTAATCAAAACTAAGGAATATTAATTATAGCTATTCTTCAACTCCATCAAAGACTTTAGAATATTACCTTAATATTAAGACTCCTTAATATTACCTAAGTTAACAGAAAGTACTTGTGAACAACTTCCAAAACTCTTTAATTGACAGAGACAACTCACTGCCTTTACAGTCACCCAAAGTTCTTCTGTAACGTTGGGGCAATCTTCTTCAGCCTACAGACCCTAGTGTCTCGCAGACTTTTCCATGAAATGGGAAATTTGAAAGACTCTTTTGGCTCTATTGGCAGGGTGTCCTACAGAATGTCTGGAAGACTCTTTCATGAAGCAGGAACACTGAAGGACTGTTTCACCTTCTTTAGGCAACTTTAGCAGTCATTTTTCTGTGTGTTCTACATGTCCAGTCCATTCAGTATAACATCAACCAATCCAGGTAAGAGCAGTTTCTTGCCCACATGGCATCCTTGTCACAGTGAAGGCAAATTCCAGAATGAATTTGTTCAATGCCCATCGTCCTCTTGAAGAGATTGGTTATCACAGAAGCAGATATGTTTTATTGTTATGAAAAGTCCTAAGTTCTTAAGCATTTTAAATGCCATATTCTGTTAGTCTTTGAAGGGTTTGAAAAATAACTATCCACCTAAAATATATTTCTGTATATCTATAAAACCTAACATGACTACAAACTTGACTATCATAGATGACAATCTTTTAGCCTATATTTCTTAATTATACTTATATTTTTAATGAGCTGTACAGTGCAATACTTTAATCAAGAACAGATATACATACACACACATATATATATACATACACATGTTCACACACACACATATATACATTAAATTTGTATCATTAAACCAAGATATATACCAAAATATTCATTTCTATAGAATATAAACAATATTTGTATTTATAAACAATATTTGGGAATTTGGGCATAGTTCTCTTCAAACTGCTTCTTATTTTTGTTGGGTGAAATATTTGGAAAGGTGTTCACAGAGACCTCTCAGTTGGTCTTGGTCCATCAAACAACATTTGCCTGGAATGAATCCACATGGTCTTATCCTCTATGGAAAGAAAAGCAGAACTTTTCCAAAGTAACACATCTTTCAACCCAAATGCTGAAGTCATGATACCTTTAAAATATATATGCTGATTTAGCACAGCAGTCTGCACAATCAAATGTCTCTCTGCAGTCAAAAAATTCAAATGAAACATAATAATACACAAAATTCAGACTCTCTGCATATATTCCATCTTTATAAGGCTTATTTTTTTATACCTTTAATTTATGATTGCCTGTACGCTCTGTCTTTAAAGACTTGTTTTATTTTTGTAAATGATTTACTTACTTTTATAATTCTCTATACACTTTTTCACATCTCTCTCCAACCTATGTGCATTTATCCAACACTGTGACCCATTTCAAGGCTTATTTCTGTCCGAATCTGTCATTATTGTATATCTGTCATTATTAATGACTAGTACTGCTTCTTCAAATGCAAAGTGGTAAGGCTATGACTAAGCTGCTTTGTCTTTTGGCTATGCCCATGCCAACTTATTGGAAAAATATTCACTGCCTCTGTGAGTCATATACACCAGTTTCAGGTATGTAGAATGTCAATGCCTTTCCATAAAGCAGTTTATAATATGATGCTCACTAACCCCATTTAAGTGGAGGACTTGCCAAAAGAGCTAGTATTTATGCTGCCATCACAAATAAGGACGTCACCATTTTTTATGCTGAGTCAGTAAGCCTTCTCTTAAAAGAAGTGTTGCAACCCTTTTAGCTTCCAACAAATACATCTCATTTGAAAAAAAAATGCCAGCTACAAGTAGGCATGCATAACTTTGTTCTTTTGTGTCTAGAATTCCTTCCCAAGCTTTCTCAGGTTTTATGTGGATGGAGTCAGACCCACCTTTGCGCACCAATATATAGTTAAAGGTTGTTCATACATGCCTAGCCACCCAGTTCCAAATATCTACACAGAAACAGTATTAATTAAAAGACTACTTGTCTAATCACTTACGCATATTGATATCTATTTCATATATCTTAAATTAACCCTGATCTACTAATCTGTATATTGCCACATGCTTGTGTTCTACCAGCAAGGTTCCATCCAGTGTCTGGTATCTCTCTCCTGCAGTGGTTACATTACTTTTCACTGACTTTGCATACTCTCTTTCTATGACTCTGTTTAGAGTTCCCACCTGGGTTTACTCTGTTAAACCATTGACTAAAATCAACTCCTTTATTAACTTTATTAACCTATGGCAATAAAACATATTCACAGCATACAGAGGGAAATGCCACATCAACCTTTGCCCAACCTGAAATGTATAAAGAGACTAACACAGATGTTTCTAGACAGTGACAAATGGGAATGAAGCCAATAGGCACAAAGAATTTGAGAGAACTTAATGCTTATACCATGCAATACTATTTCCTAAGGGTAACTGAGAATAACACAGATTTAGAATTCTTTCATAAAAAATTTCTCCATAATTATTACTTGAGGTTACTTTTGGGAGATTTTATTTTGTTTTGAGTTATGATTTCATACTATATCTCAGATGGGCACTACATTCACAGTCTTTCTGCTTCAGATACCCATAATATGACATTATAGCTGTGCACTGCCACTACTGAATTAATTGTAGGTGATTGTCATAAGAACATAGAATCTTGAAATACTGAAAACTTTGGTTTGAATATTAGGCCATTTTCTGGGGCCCTATATGTATTGTTGACTCAAAATTTTTATTATATATTTTAATCACGGATTTAGTTTATATTTCCTGGGAGAATAATTGATGATGCCAATAACAGAAAATAATATATTGAATGCTTGTAAGGAGACTTATGGATAACTGTCCAAAAGCAGAGACAGCTGAGTAAAGAAGCCTCCTGGGCAATATTGAATTTTATGATGAAAATGTAAAAGATTCTTTAAATGACAAATGAGCCTTTGGTTTCCTATTTATATAGAAACTTTCTGTTCTTGGAAGATAACCTTAAGAGATCAACTTTTGAGAGATATTATTTTCCTGTTTTTAATGCTCCTTAATATTTTTCATTTATAATAATTTTTCTGACTCCTGCAAGGGAAGAAGATAGGCTGACTGTAGATTTTTAACTTTCTCTGTGCTCCTCTAGAGACAATATCCCAGGTCTCTCCCCAGTTATGACACAGAAAATCTGTGGCAACCTCCTATATCTATACTGGATATCATAGATATTCTTCTAACCTCACTCCTCCAATTAATTGTACTACACTTTTACCCATTTTAAACTGGCCATTCTTGGAAATGCACAGACCACTCTTGTCAGGGAAGAGATGACGTAACTATATATCTTCACATCCCCCTCATTCCTTTGAGTATCATGGCTCTATATTATCCCCAGCTCTGCAGCAGAATACCTGCACTAATGACCCACATCTCTAGTTTATCTCACAGAAAACTCCCAACAACTCCTTCCCAAACTTACTGCTTTATCCAACATATCAACTCCATCAAACATTTTCTGTAAACCCACAGGCCAAGCTGGGCATGAAATCAGGTAAGATCAATGAAAATCTTTAGCTCTCCACTTGCTCCTCCAAGCCCAGTCTCCTGATATCATCCTTAGCTTTATGTAGAACCCCTGCTAGAGATTCCCTCAGCCAAAATGACACAGTCTCAAGAGAAAAAACAGATCTTAAGCTTCATAATTCCTTCTCACTACTCATTACTTTGCCCTAGCCCTAAAATTCATAAGAAACTCTCTACAAAATGGCAGGCCAATCTAACCAGGAAAACAAGTATACTAACTTAAGAACTTGCCTCTCCCTTTATTCTTACAAGTCCAACCCTCAGTCTCATCAACAGCTTTATATCAAACTCTGCACTGTGATCTGTTTTTACTCACTGCCAGGTGACTACCTAAGCAATTCCAGTATGAAACTCTACTCTTTTTCCTACTGTGGATGTTTGTATGCCCCCTCCTGTTACATGCACATTTATATGTGTCAGCTTTCTTACATATCCATCAAGAAATACATTTAATCTAGAATATCCAGTGTTCGTGTTTATGAGTATTCCAGAAGAATTTGCTAGCTGGCAACACACTGTCACCATACTTTGCAAATTATCAAATAAGAAAGTTAGAATCAACCTTACAAAGACAGAATCTGAAATCAACACCTAGAATTACAATTTTCCCAGTCCCAGATACAGAGACATCATCCTAAAATGCCATCAATAACATCCATGAGAATATGTCTTCACTAGAGCCCATAAGCCCTACCACATCAGGTCCTGAGTATTCCAACATAGCTGAAGAAGGAAAGGACCTTAAAACAGCCAGTAAAAAGATGATACTGATACTTAAAGAAAAAATGAATACATCCAATAAGGAAATCTATGAACACATAAAAAGTGGAAGGAAATGAATAAAAACATTTAAAATCTGAAATTGAAAATACAATCAATAACAACAAACAAAATTTCAGGAAATATTCCAATGAAAACTTTAGGAACTTGAACAGGAACCTTAGTGCAGAGCTTTGTGACCAGTATATAAGAGAATAAGGGGTATTTCTCAGCTAATGAGGATAAAATAGAAGAAATGGATATATGCATCAACAAAAATTTTAAATCTAAAAAAAGCTCCTGTAACAAAACATTCAGTATATCTGGAACATTATGAAAATACCAAATCTAATAATAGGATTGAGTCAGAAGAAGAATAATCCAAGTCAAAATCAAAGAAAATATTTCAACCGTCTTACAGAAGACCAATTCTCTAACCTAAAGAAGGAGATACCTATCAAAGTAAAAGAAGCATACAAGGAAACTGAATCAGGAAAGAAAGTCTCCTCAACAAATAATAATTATAAAATAATTTTAAAACAGATGAAAGTTATGTTTGAATATGTAAGGATTGCAATGGGAGGATGAAGTCAGAAGGGGGAGAGGAGAGAGACTCAAGGGAGAAATAGGGGGAGAGACGATTAAACTTAGGGATATTTGAGAGAACATATGCCACCCAATCATCTAGAAATATTTTAAAACATACACACCCATATGTACATCTAAAGGCAATCTAGGTAATTGAACATAATAATTGTGGAGATGTTGTCCCAAATGGGCATCCAATGTCACAAAAGTACTGAGTTTGTATTATATATAATTGAATTGTTGGTCAAAGTAATCTTATGGGGACACATAAACAACAGAGCCTGTGGGCTGCTATCCACAAACTGACAGCAATGCCTGGTTGCTGAAGAAAACACCTTTATAACTCATTGAACATGAAGTTACTGGGCTGCTGGCTACATCGAGTTTTCACCCCTAAATTCCAGCATGTTTCTTGCAGGAAGGTACTCTGCATGCTATTAAAAGAGAAATGTTAGCATGAAGCCAGTCACTAATCATTTGCTCTCCAATAGTGTCTTACCTACCTACAAGATATGCTAGAGCAATCATGGCACAAAGCTCAAGGGAATATCCAGCCAATAACTGACTATAGTTAAGACCTACTCCATTAGACAGAACCCATATCTGGCATCGATTTGGTTTCCAGAGACTAAAATACCCTGGGGACCAAGGAAAAAATGAAATAATACTGGTCTAAAAAAGAAGTGACAAAATTAATCCTAATGTTATACTGCTATGTTCAGATTAGTGTATTGTTCAGCTATCATCAAAGAAGCTTTCTCCCAAATCAGTTGGAAACAAATATAGAGATCCACAGGCAGATAACACATAGAGTGAAGTACTTTTGAGAGATCAGCTCTAAATGGTATGTCTATACCAAAGCTCTCACTTTAGAATTCAGAGAACTCTTCAGGAGAAGAAAGAGTATAAGAGAACAAGAGGATGGGGGACACCAAAAAACAAGGCCCTCATATGAACTCACAGACTGTAGTGCATGAATAATGTGCCAACCATTCTGTATAAATTCGCTACTAATATACTAAGGCTTCTAATTAAGTGAATGTATGAAGTCCCTGAAATTGTGAACATGCGGGTCTCTGTTTGTACCTTCTTCTTTGCTCTTTTTCTTCTGTTGGTTTGTCTTGTCCAACCTTGAGGTGATAATATTGTTTCTTCATATCATATTTTACCTTGCTATATTTTTTAAAAATGAATGGATGAATTAACTAATTACTAAAAGTCTTATCACTAAAATAAATGTTAACAACTAAACTCTCATCAATACCTGCTGTGGGAGGAAAAATCATTTTTCTCTAATACAGTGTCATTGGATACATCAATCATTCAAAGACAGTCTAGATGTTAACAAGCAATTGACCAATATATAATAGACTCCAAAGTCTTGTTCATTTTGAGGTGTCTGAGGGTGAGGTGTGTGATGCGCTTTATTTTGTTTCAATTTGATGTTTTCATTTTTTGGTATTGTTTTGTTTTTTTTTCCTTTTGGGGGAATATAATTTTACTGGGTTCTTACTTTCCTGAGAAAGAATTTAAAATTGGTTGGTTAATAAGGGGGAGAAGATTTGAAATGAATATTATCAAACTATGTTTACATTTAAAAATATTTTCAATTATAAAAATATATTAAGAAAAATCAAAACAAAACCAAAGAAGTTACAGCTAACAGTAGCCCTTGTCATCACCAGAGTCTACCTCTGTAAGTAAACAGTGGCTGTAAGACTGCTTTTTCTCCTCAGCTGTAACAGGACGAACAGGCTGCTTGTCATCCCAGCCGTCCAGCTATCTTACACCCGAAATAACCACACAGAAACTGTATTAATTTAAATACTGCCTAGCCCATTAGCTCTAACTTTTTATTGGCTTATTCTTACATCATAATTTAATTCATTTCTATTATCTGTGTATTGCCACGTGACTGTGGCTTACCAGCAAGATTCTAACCAGTGCCTATCAACTAGGCCAAGGCAGTTTCTTTATTCATTATCCAATGAAAGCAAAAAACAGAAGAAACTCCTACACCATTTCCCCTTTTATTTTTAAACAAAAAGGAATGCTTTAACTTTAACATAGTAAAATTACATATAACAAAACTTATTAAGCATGAATTATAGTCATAATATTTATATCTATTTTATCTTATATCATAACAAAGGAAAACTATAACTATCTATTTTTAACTCTATTAAAGATCATATATATATATATATATATATATATATATATCAGCCTAATGATGGTCAAGTGTTTTCTCTGGCAGACTTCATGCTCAGTGTAATTTTTTCTTGTTCAGTAAAATATTCCATTGATATCTTTATCTGTGATATGCAAATGATGGCTACCTGTTACAAATAACTTTCAAACTATTTAAACATCTAAGTCACTGATCAAATCAGAATTTTTTATGTTTAATAAAAAGTAATTTAATAATGACTAAATCATTAGAAGTATATTTTTTAACTAAGGGAAAATAAAATGCACAAATGTACGTAATATTGCTTTTTCTAATTGTCTTTTAAAGAGTATTCTTTTTATACTTGGTAGACCTCAAACCAACCATAAAACCAATGATGATCTAGATCCCCTGAAACTATCTATCTCCTAATGCTATGCTTAGAAACATGTGACATTCTCCAAGATTTTTAATTTTCAAGATAAGATACATTTGAGCACACACATAGTATTTATACATATTTAAACTTCAATGTGACATTTTAATTTAATGAGACCTTCAATGGTTAGTTAGTGGTATGGCCTATCAATCTACTCAGCATATATCCTTACTTAATGTCAAAACATTTTGGATATTCTATGATAAGACTTTTGAAATCTCCAGTGTATTCTCTCCAACCATACAGAACCCTCTATATTCTAGAGCACAGGACACAATCCTCCCTGACTCTTCTTACCCTGTATATACCTGGTAAATTTATGTATCACCCAATGTGGTTCATTTGTCTACAGCATTTGTCCTCTTCTAGGATCCACATATAGATTTCACCTCTTTGTCCCTCTTTTCACAGTCAACAGGAGATGACATATATTTGGGCACAATGAAATGACACTGCTTTACTGGGTTTTCAGGTGTATCAAATGTGTTGCACAGACAGAATTTAAAACTTGTAGTGCAAGTGTGAGATACCCCACCCTACCTCAGGGTGAAGTAGGGTAAAGAAGATGTGGGTGATGGACAAGGAGGCTAGAGAGAAAATGCCAGATTCAGATAAATAGAAGAGGTAGGGCATAATATTACTTTTAGTGATGCTTTATGAAACTAACACTGACATGGAGATACTGAAGAATGTGGAGCACTCCATGTGGTGAGTTTTAGAGAGACTTGTGGTTGCTGTAAGAATGATGGTTACCTTTTTCATCTCTTCATAGCTCACTAGCAGGAAATTATCCCTTTCTCTCATGGACAACCAGTCACGGGTGTGTTCAAACCATGATCCATATACCACTGTGTAAAGGGATGAGAAAACTGTTAATTACAAATAAATAAAAGCGACATGTTCCTGAAATTTTTTCATTTTTCTAGAAAGGAAAAACAGCTTTACTAAAAACATTCAAGCCATTATTTCAGTATTCAATATGACATGTCACAGAGAGAGAGAGAGAGAGAGAGAGAGAGAGAGAGAGAGAGAACTAAGTTTATTAGTAATCTCATCTGCTTACAGCTTTACCTTTGATTCCATATGGAGACATCCTCCTGGTGGGCAGAAATGACAGAGGCATGTGTTTGGGAAAAACAATTATACCGATTCAGTAATCCAGAAGGGACTTGGCATGACCAGGCTTGTACTTTTTATTAACATCATGCCATGAACACTCTTAATCATTTCTGAGGGAGATTTCCTCCCATTGGCCTCCAACTCTAAGGTTTCACCACTTCTCAGCAGTGACTCCTCAACACCTAAACTTACAAAATAAGACAAACTAGAGCCCTTCCAGGCATCACCTTATGCTTTCACACCAGAGCTTAATTTATATTCCTAGGGCTACTTTGATGAGTTCTCAACAATTCCTGGTCTAGTGTGCTCTACCCATCTCAGCATCCATTGAACACTAGCATTGTGCATTGTTTACCATTATCTGAAGAAATAACTAAATCAGAAAAGAAGAAAATATAAAACATAAGTTGTGGTCAGACAAGTAGGATACACGAATTCAAGGAATCTAATATGTGAACGGAATCTGGAGGCAAATATTATACAGAAAAGTTGTAGCCTGAAAGTGAGTTGAGTAATTTATGGCAGAATTAAGTCACTTAAAATAATTGAAAGCTGGGTTCAGCAGAAAACATATATCTTGTATGTCTGAGGACCTGAGTTTGTATCGGCAGAAACCATTCAAACATTGATATTTTTTGTGACCTGAGTACTCCTACTAGGACAAGGGAGGTGGAGACAGGAGAATGCACAGAAGCTTTAGACCAGTTAATCTGGTGCACACAGTGATGAACAAGAAGAAAGGGATTTTGTCTCAAACAATGTAGAAATTAAGGCTCAACACCTGATTTTTTTTTTTTTTGCCTTCCACACTTAAGCACTGGCACAAGAACAGCCACATTCACCTTTTTGTATCCACACTATAATATTCATACATGCGTACATACATCAAAAGAAAACTTAAAACCATCTCAAATGTGATAGAACTTGTCTGCAATAAACCAAAACTCAGGAGGTAGAGATAGGAGAGGGCCAGAGGTTCAATATCATTTTCAATTACGTAGTTAATTTGGGGACAACCTGGGATACAACAGATCCTCTCTGAAAACAAGCAAAAAGCCAAAACTATGTTAGTGAGAGCACCAAATATAAACCAATGACATATATGTTGCTCATAATTAACAGTGGTTCTGTCTGCAAATTATATTAAAATATATGTCTTTGTTTCGATGCAAGGATTTCAAATGGTATGTCTTTAAGGCTGCTTCGGTTTTGTTATGAAGACAATATTAGCTTTGATACTCTTGAATCAATCCCATGAATGTTGTGATAGCAGGCATATACAATCCTACTTATCCTGGATTTTTCATTATTTTGCTATCATTTAATTGATACTTACCAAGTTATGAGACATAGTGATTCTATCAAATAATAAATGACCATAAAATCTGAGTATTAGTGGGGCATAATTCTCAATAAACAGACAACTAAGTACATCCCATCTGGTGTAGTATGCTATGAAGACAAAAAATTCAATGATAGAGATAAGAAGAATGGTATCTTATATGATTTGGTAAAAAAATGATACCTATCAATACAACAACATATTAACTGAAATAAAATGATGGTGTGAATCAAGGTTGTATGATATCATAAATAATCCCATCTATGAACAGAACAAAAGGAGTAAGTCATCTGGTACAGAGAGGGATGTTGTGTAGGAAAAGGAGAGGGAGTGGGAAATGGAAACAGGGAGCGAGAAAGAGAGAAGGGAGAGAGAAAGATTAAGCTATATACTTTAGTATATATTTGTGTGTTTTCATATGTGTATGAGTCTTTGTGAATGACTGCAGAGTTTAGAAGTGTTTCAGTTCCTCTGAAGCTGATGTAATGAAACATTGTGCACCAGTCTTCATGTTCACTGGGAAACAAACTACTCTTCTAAAAAGAATCAAGTGATGTTTTGATCACTGAAGCATCTCTCCAGTCCCTAATGACATAGTTTTGAAGAGAAAGTTATAAAAACAACTGTACCACACAAGAAAAAGTAGAAATTAGCACAAATGATCTGCACAACAAATAAATTATAAATGAAGTATTACAGATAGAAAATGGAATGGTGGCATTATGAGTTAGCAATTTGTTTAAAAAAGTGCTTATCATTATATACCAGGTTATCAAACTGTTTATATAACCCACAAAAATTAGAAATAGACAATTGACTCCACAAACTTCTTCTCAGGGTCTCACAAAAACACTCATACACACAAATACCAGCCCATAATAAATAAAGTTTTAAAGGGAAAAATACAGTGTTAAAGCAAGGTGAAGGTTATGGTACAGTTCCATATGAGCAAAATAACACAATAAGAAGATAGGAGTGGATATTCCAAGATATCTGTCACACTATGAAAAGATGAAATCTATGTTCATATACAGAGAAAACATTTTTGAAATCATTTCTAGTAGTTAGGAAAAGAGTGCGGTGTTCAGTAACTTTAAGTATTAGCACAAACTATAACCACTTCAGAAGAGAATTTTAATGAGGAATTGTTTATATATTACATTGGTATCTGGGCATGTCTTGGAAATGTTTTGTTAATATGTCATTGATGATATAGAGAGAACATTGTGAACAGTTTCATTCCCTACTCATGGGAATCCGAAAAAGCATAAGGAAAGAAAAACTAAGCTTTGGGACAGAAACCGAGAGATAACATAGTTATTGACTCTCTGCTCTTGACTGAAACATATTGTTTTAACTTCCTACCAAAACTTTTCATGTACAATAAACTGAAACCTGGATTTGAAAAAAAAAAAGAAAAAAAAGCCTCCTTTTCTCTTTAAGTTCCTTTTTGTAAAAACAGATGCTAATTCAGATACAGGCAGAATTTAGGGTACCACATAGACAAGATTAGATGGGAACCTCCCCTCATAATACTAGAATTAAACAAAAAAGTCCATTGAAACTGGAAAGAAAGAAGCAACAAGTAAAATGTAAAGTAAGTTCTGAAATCTTTCATAATAACAGATTTTTCAACAGAGACTTTATAAATCAGGAGGGAAGGACTGGAAAGGTGTATTTCAAGTTATATAAACAGTCAATGATAACTCCATCTTCTGTACCCATCAAAGCTACTTGTCATAACTGAAGGAGCAATAAAATTTTGTATGCTAACATTTGCAAAATGAATGTATGACCACCAACGTAGCTCTACAGAATACATTTGTAGGGTCTTTTTAACTGAAGAGAAAAGTAGATATATTCTTAAGACTGCAACAAGTATAATTTAGCTCTACTATTCAATTTGACACAATCTAAATTATTTGAGAACATCTCAGTTAAAGTATTGTGCCTTTCAGTTTGGCTTGTGACCAAGTGTTTGAGTAGGCTGATGAATGGTATGTTAGGACCCAAAGCACAGGTAGTTTAATCTGGGTTGTATGAGAATACTAAATGAGCATGAGACACTGTAGAAGTCAACAAGTAAATTTGTAAAATGGTTTCTACTTCAGTTCCTTCTGGAGATATGGCCCTGAATTCTCCCATAGATACATTGTGACCTGAGCATGAAAGCCAGATAAACACTTTCTTCCTCTACATTGTTTCTGGAAAGTATGTTCTATCTCAGAGTACATAAAGGAAACTAGAACAACAAGTAAACAAGAAATAAAAGAGAAACAACTTGAGGTTCTTAACAAAAAATCAAAATTGCGGAAATGAATAGACATTGTTCAGTAGTAACTGAATGATAATATCAATTCCTAATTTCAAAAACACAGGTTAGCAGGTTAGAAAAAAACCAAAAGTATATTTTTGTTGTACTTCATTAAAAGACAGATGTAACATTACAATGAAATGATGAAAAAAATGTGTTATGGCCTAATGGAGCTACAAAACAAGCAAGGGTTGCCTATCTAATCTGACAAAAATGACTTGAAACCAAATCCACAGAGAAATAATATAACTTCCTTCTGATTAAGGGAACAATTCAATGAAAGAACTGTATAATTCCAAACACAGGTTCACCCAGTTCTGTGAAAAAAATACTAGTAGATGTAAAGAAACAGGCTATCACCAGTTTTCAGTAATTTCATTATCATCAATTAACCTGTATCCCAGTAGAAAATGAGCAGATTTAAGTGACTTCACAGGTAAAATGGACATAAAGTACAAGAAAAAATATTTTATGCAAACTCTTAAGAATGAATACACATTGTTCTCAGCATCGCATGAAATTTTCTTTAAAATATATCAGGTATTAGAACACCTAGTTCTAGTCTTAGTAAATATGAGGAAATTTAAATAATTTCTTATGCCCTACCTGACACAATTAAAGGACAAATAAACTGGAGGAACTCTAGAAGGCAAACAGACTCATGGAGATTATACAATTCATGACACACTTATGAATGAGTCCTTGAAGAAACAAGAGTAGAAAGACACCTACAATAAAATAAAAATTAAAATCCCAAATCCTTTAACCTGTGAGATGCAATGTAAATATCTAAGAGAGATGTTTAAACGTCAATGTACCTACATTAAGATATCAGGGATATCTAATGATTTTATTAATGATTTACTTTAGGGCTCAGGAAAAAGAACAAATCAACTATCAAAATCAATATGTCTAAATCCTACATAATACACACACACACACACACACACACACACACACACACACACACGTTCACACCAATCCCAAGTGGATCAAGAACTACAACTTAAGAACCAAAATTCTGAAAATGTTAGAGAAAAAAGTAGGAATTAAATCACAGCTAATGACTTTCA